ACTCGAAGCCCGCTGCTTTCAAGCGCAAAATATTCCTGGTTCCCGTTGCCATGAACATCGCCGTGTCGTTGCTCTTCGTTTGGCGCATGTACGCCATCTTGCCTTGGTACTGGAAGATTGTGCAGTCTGGCTTTGGCTGGCCCAACGAGACCACGTTTCCCATTGCAGGGTCCTCGTGGCAAGATTTTGCCTGGGAGGTGGTCAAGCGCGGTGTCACCATGTTTATCGATTTTGTCCTGTTTGTATTTGTCTGGCCTTGGCCGGTGGAATTCGCCGCTGGTCAGGCTCACGGCAACCCCATGCTCTGGAGGCGCAAGGTCGGGTTTCAGGACAAGGAGATTTACGTCCGGCGCAGTCGCGACTGGGATCGGGTTCTGGGAGATATTTTCAAGGACGACGACTCCAAGAGGATTTTGCTGGCCTACGTCAATGCAGCCACATCGCCAATCTTGCAGGAACAAAAGACGGGCTACCTGCTGATGAATGGCCAGTGGGATCTTGATTGGGCTTCCATGGTCCACGCCCATGCCTTGGTCGACCACAAGATTGCGGCCATGGAGGCATTCAGGACAGTTGTGCTGCTACATCACAAGGACTTTGGCTGGCTCTGCTATGACATGAAGGCTGGCATCGCTGCGGATGGAGACGACAAACGCAGACAAGTTTTTGCCTTTCGAAACGCGCTCACCTCCATGGGCCAGGAAGACTTGTTTTATCGGTGGGTGGAGATGGTTCAGTTTGATGCCACCCAGCCCGGCGGCTTTGGCCCCGAGCAACAGGAGGCGACGGCCAAGAGGATACGTGAAATGTTTGAGGCTGCCGGCGTCAACTTTGATCAACTGTGGAAGGACGCCGTAGGGGAGGCGAGGATATAGATGGAGCTTGATGCAACTAGCGTTGAGCGGAATTCAATTTCCCCTTGTACAATATAACAGCATCGACTAATCAATCTTTTGGCATTTATCGGCGGATCGAGCCGGGTTGAGGTTCGGCTCCAGGCAGAGCATATAGGCTTACACAGCATAATATGGCAAAACAAAACGCAGGACGAGGGTGCCCATGTTTGGGTTCGCAACAAACACGCCAAGAAAAGAAGAGCCGGCCACACACACCGGATATCAAAGGCAGTCATACGTGTATGTAAGAGCGAGCAATCAAAGGGACATGTTTGATACAAGAGGTTGGCTGGCAGCAGCTATAAATATGCCATTCTGGCCATCTAAGGATTAGATTCGGTGCGTTCCGTGGCGCATGATGGCAGTCAAACATTATCCATATTGATATGTTGAGTCAACTTCTGCAAGTCACTTGGCTGGGCTGCTGTCAGCATTGAGTTTGCAGATCAGATTCCCGCTGGTGGCCCACAAGTATGGAAGTACTGGGTAAGTACCTAAGTACTCCGTAGGTACGTGCACATGTGCACTTAGGGGCAGTTCGGCGCGCCGTCAGTGGGTGGACCAAGCACCAGAAGCACCAGACCTCAGTACTTATAGGAGTCTTGCGCCTGGCTCCTTCAATTGCAGCCAGTGCCGGCGCCAGTGCACCAGACTGCTCATGTGCCCTTCTGCCACAGCGTGCTCGAGCGTGTAGTGTAGCAGTGTGTCTGGTCTGCTCATTGTCCAGAGGCCAGGTGGCCAGTGCGCTGGCACCTACATGTATGTACATACCGGACATTGCATGTACCGGCCACCTGGCGCCTGGCACTTGGGGGCTTCACACGCTGTCCGCTGGCTTCCCGTCTCTGTCTGTTCCAGCCATTCCAGCATCTATTCCGTACTTGCCGTGTCAAAAGTAGACGGACGGCCGCGCGCTTGCTCTCCCGACTCGGCGCTTGTGCATCCAGTCAACTTCCGTCTCTCGAATTTGGCTCCGAGTGGATCACTCGACCTCGCAACTGCGTTAAATCGTCACCGGTCCACGAATCCCCTTTTCGTACCACCAACACAGCCGCCTCATCCTGTGCCCTCGTGCCCTCGAGTCGAGCCCTCGAGCCCTTCCCACGTAGGTACCAATAGTTGTGCTCCATCGCCAGGGACCGCATCCTTCGCCAAACAACATCCACCTCCGGGGCAACTGGCATCGTCCCTCGTCTTCGCTGCGACCCACCCCCTTTCCGCACGTACATACGCCTGACGCCGTTTTCTGCCCCAGCGACTCTTGATAGCCTCGTAACCCTCTTTGCCGGCCGCAGCAGCTCGACCTCGCCACGAGCGGCGCATTTCCCTGGCGCCGCCGATATACGTGCTCTCTCGGTGCTTCTGCTCCTACTCCATATCCTCACATCGTTGCAATGTCCTCGTCTGGCCTGACACGGCGTCGTGGCGCTGGCGGAGGCGGCATAGCCAACACTGAAGCCGAAGCCAGCAACGCTGCCTCTAGGACCAATTCCTCCCACAACATCAGAGACAGCGGCCCAGAGACGAGCTACGAGAATAGCGAAAATGGCCACAAAATCGCTTTCGACCCCAGAGACATCAGCGAGAGCGCCGAGCGCAGCAAACAGCCCAAGTTGACCATGATGGAGGAGGTCTTGCTCTTGGGACTCAAAGATAAGCAGGTAAGACGCAAATGCGAGCCCGTCTCCGCCGCTCTCTACCATTTCTCAATTCTCAAATGCTCAATTCCCTCGTGCTTTGCTTCATTCGGTCGGCCATTGGTGACTGGGCTGTTTTTGCTGTTCCAAAGGCATTTCAATTGACGCTTCCTACCAATCAAGGGATACCTGTCCTTCTGGAACGACAACATTTCCTACGCCCTCCGAGGATGCATTGTTCTCGAACTGGCCTTCCGTGGCCGCATCAGCATGGAAAAGGACCCTTCTCGACGGCGATTCCCCCCAGCCGATCGAAATATTGAAGTTATAGATGATACATTGACCGGAGAAGTCTTGCTCGACGAGGCTCTCAAAATGATGAAGCAGAGCGAGAAAATGAGCGTTAGCTCCTGGATTGATTTAATGAGCGGTAAGTTAAATCCGTCGGCTCACTACGCCCTTTGACCTCTGGCCTTGCGAATTCGAAAATTGCATCGCGTCCATGCAGTACTAACTTTTGCTGGGCTGAAGGCGAGACGTGGAACTTGATGAAGATTGGCTATCAATTGAAGCAAGTTCGTGAGCGATTAGCCAAGGGCCTCGTAGACAAAGGCATACTCCGAACCGAGAAGCGCAACTTCCTCTTATTCGACATGGCCACTCATCCCGTTGCCGATGGCGGAGCCAAGGAGGAGTTGCGCCGCAGAGTCCGCAACGTGCTCACACAAAGAACCGTTGTCCTCAGCGGCAACCAGTTCCTACCCGAGAACCTCGAGTTCAGATACCTCCGGACCGTGTGCATGGTCTGCGCCGCATATGCCGCCAATGTTTTGGAGAATGCTCTGTCAACCCTCGGTCACGAAGCCCGCGAGAGAGCTTTTGCTCAGACAGACGAACTGCTGGCAGACTATAGCCAATGGCCGTTTGGAAAGAAGGCTACTAGCAACGGCATCGGTGCCAACTTGCCACAGGCCATTTCAGAGGTAGGCGTTGATTTCCCCCAAGACGCAGGCGTTGGTTGGAGGATGAATTGCTGCGCCAATCTCAAATTACGGGAGTCCCTTGACAGTAAGGGACGTTGTGAGACTGACAATGTGCACAGGAAATCAGCAAGGCCAAGGATAAGGAGCTGCAGTTGGAAGTCGTTGCCGCCTGCCTGAGCGTCTTTACTCGCCTCGACTCCCTCCTATAATCCACCCAACACAGCCTCGCACGGCGTCAATGTATCGTGAAGCAAAATCGCCCTTTATAGCCCCGGCGGCCCTGTTTGCTACACCGACTGAGCCCACAGCTCCTCCATGGCCAACCCGATACGGTCCTCGAATCGAACTGCTTCTTCACTTCTCACCTACAGAACTAATCGTCTTTTTGGGGGGGAGGGGGCCTCCACCGCATCGCCTCCAGCTCCAACATTCGCCTTTCACGGCAGGGTTTGTTACCAAACTGCGGCCAACCCCGACATCTCTAGGCTCAAAGGATCCTGTCGCAGGCAAGATGGGCTAGGCACGACTAGAGTATTGGGGACAAGTACAAACTTGAAACGGGAGTGTTCAAAAAAGGTCGCGGTGAATATGAGGAAAGAAGCCTTGTTTATTTTTTTATAAAAGAAAACCTCGATGGATTGTTTAATTACATGCCAAATTTCACCCGTTTCATCCTCGTCTCTCCTATTTCTTTATTTGCCTTTTTCTTCTTCTTTGTTTCTTGTCGTGGGGGAAGTCATATTCCGTGGCATTGACAGGGTTTACCGGCAAACGACGTGTGCAGAATGAGGTACAGTGTCCAAGTGCTAGCACCTGGGTTGTTTGGTTCGGGTGCTCGTTCCAATTGTTGCATGTGTGTGTGGTTTGTGGGAAAGGCGTACGTCCCTTGGTAAGAGAGGAATGAATGTAGAGTGGATGGATGCAAGAGACCAAGAAAAGACGAGCTCAGTTCTTAATATCTAGAGTCGAGTCAATCAAGTCGATTTTGTTTTCGTTTGTCATCTACGGGAGTCTGGCTTGTCAAGGGAATGTCTGGTTGGTGTAGATATGCTTGAATAAGACTGAACGAGTACATCAATAAAATGTTATGACGGATTTATAAAATCCTCGAGGTCAAGGAATAATCATGATTGCCCAACAGCTACAACACACTTCTCGGCCGTCGCCTCGTCATGCAGAAGCGACCAATATTCGATTCAGACACCAGCTGCAACGTCCCGTACCTCATCTTGAGATCGCTTCGCTGGTTATTCTTCCGCCCATTCATCAACTCCAACCCATGGTGAAAACCGACAACAATGCTAGATTTTGATGAGTCCTAGACACGGCATGTGCCAACGCCAACGCCGGTAACAGAAAGAGAAAAAAAGACGTATCGCCTTGCCGTGCCAGAACAACGTGACTTGAGCACAATGCAGTAGAAGAGAAGTAGACCAAGGCTGCCCACATACTAACTACTAGACATAAACATCTGTCGCCTGGGCTTACTTTCGGCGACCACCGACTCCCAGGCTGCCTTCAAATCCGGGTCGTCCACCCTTCTTCTTCTTGGCGCCGCCCTTCTTTTTTCCAGCCTTGCCGAGTAGCTTCTCTTCCCTGCGCTGCTTGATGTTCTCTTCACGCTTCTTTTGTCTTTCTTTCTGTGCCTGCTGCACGCCCTTGGCGCGTTCTGTCCATGCCTTCTCGCTCTTCTTCTTGGCTGCTTCCTTACGCTTCACTGTCTTCTTTAGGATAGCCTCATCATCTCGGATCTTTTCACCCTCGACTCTGCGTCGAGCCGTCAACCAAGCCTCCTTCTCTGCCACGTCGGCTTGTTTTTCTGCGCCCAATTCTTGCAACCTCTTCTTTTGGTTCTGTACCTTGAGCAGCGCCGTCTTGGCATCGGATGGGCCCTTCTTCTTTCCCTGGCTCAGCACATAGCTAAGATCATGCGACATCTGCGACCCATCTCCAAAGGCAACCCGACCAAAGGAGAAACTACCCGCACCCTCATCTAGCTCGACTGCAGGACTCATGACACTAGGCGAGTTGGAAGCCAGAGCTTCTTCTCGTTTTCTTGCGTCTTCGAGCTTAGCTTGCTTCCGAAGTTCGAGTTTACGTTGTTTTCGCTGCTCTTGCTTGGCCCGTCTTGATTCGATGAGCTCCTGTCGAGTTCTAATAGGCTTGCCGTCCGGACCATCTGCCTTTCTGGCAGCTCTCAGCGCCTCGATTTTAGCAGCAAGTCGTGCTCGCAGCGCAGTTGTGTCAGCAGGAAGCTTGATATGCTTGGGCTTTTCCGATGGAGGAATGGTAGAGGAGACAGAAGTGGTGGTGCTGGCTTGCTCGGCCGAGGCATCGTTTAATGAGTTTGACGGATCAGTCGTGTCGAATGTGGGTGATTGCGGCTCGGATTCGGATCTTGAAGCCACTTCAACAACATCGTCTTTGGCCTCGCTCAATGGGCCTTCGAATTGCGCCTCGTTCTTATGTTGGGTGGACTCGGTCGCATTAGCATTCTGGATGGAGGTCTCGACAGCATTCTGCTTCAGGGACTTTTTCTCGGCTTTCTTCTCAGCCCTCTTTTCTCGCTTAGCTTCTCGCTTTGCATCCTTCTTGGACAGCTTGGGCGTCCCTTCCGCTGTTTCCAAGGTGTCCGTTCCGTGCTCGTCGTCCTTGGCCAATTTCGGCCTCTTGTTGCTCTCTTCAGGCTTCCTTTTCAATCCTTCGCCGGGCTTTTCGGTCATTATGCCATTGATCGCTTGAAACGAGTCGTCATCCGAGTCGCTTTCATTCTTGTTTTCATCCTCGTTCTCGTCCTCGTCATCATCGGCTTGCTCCTCCATCTGTCTTAGTTTTCGTTTGTTTTTGGCTCGCTCGTCCATAACTTCCTTGGCATTCCGGTTCAGCTCGCTGTCCGGGTCCAGCTTTCCCCTTCGGGCGGCGGCGGCCTCCTTCTTTGTCTGCTTCTTTCTTTTCCATTGATCCTGCAAAGTGTTCGATTAGAGAGTGAACTGGCTGTAGACGTCAAGGCGATGGAGCAAAATGATATTTGAAGAACGGGAAGAGGCGGACAGGATTCATGAGCAAGTAGCGAATTTTGGTTGGTGGCTGGGTTGACAGGGCGTACAAAGCGTCAGCGTGGGGGATTCACATACGGCTGTATCTTCTCCGTAGTATGTTTTGGCATCGATTAGACTCAAGAGGCCATCAAAAGACTTTGAGTAATCGCGTAAGCGATCCTGCACATGCTGGTCAGCTTGAAAGATTTCACGAAAGTGCTGGGCAACAGCAGCGGGGCAAAGGGCTCCGAAACAAACCTGCAGCGACGATGCTTCCATTGCTGTCGGTATTCTTGGCCTGCCCCTGCCCTCAAAGATATCGAGACACTCTTTTGTGAGCGATATGTAGCTATTTTTGAAGAAAAGGTAAGATTTTCTTTTTTTGGAAAATGTCTTTGTCCCTTTCAAATGTGGTGCCCACGTCCACAGCAATTGGGAGTCGTAAACGGGCGGCGGCGGGTGAAGGCGGTCGGCAGATTGGCGCCTCTGGGATTTTTTTTTCTTGCTCTCCACTTGAAGAAGTTCCTAGCGACTCTGGCTTGGTGCGAGAGGTCTCGCCCAGCAAAAAAATGTGGGGTACTTGGATGCTATTTGCAGGTCCATCGTAATGGTATAGGGAACTATCACACCTCGATCTAACCAGCCCAAAAAATGAATTACGAGATGTATGATAGCGAAATAAGATCTTCTACTTATGCCCAAATGAACAAAAAAAAAAAAAAAATTTTTTTTTTTTCAGAAGCTTACTACAATAGCGGCCAATACCTATTTCTATGCTTAGGAATTATCCGGGCACGTGACAAATTAACGAAAATGTCGTCCCAGCATACGGCCTTGGTCTTTCTTGGAGACATAATACGCCGATAATCCAGGGAAGATAGTGAAGCAAGTAGAATTATGTCTCCGCTGGAATACATATGGGCTCTGGCTCATCAGACATGTGCATCGATCAAAAACCAGGCCACAATGGGCCTCGAACAGAACTGCACCGATTTCCACGAGCCAACATAAGTACATGATGCAAGACAACGATACGGGCAACAGGGTGAAGCGCTTTGTCTGCCGCCTATTAAGTTTTCGCCCCTTTGATTTCGTGATATCGTACTTGAAATAATTGACCCATGGCCCAGCGGCCATGCGGGGTCCCATGTATTGAGGCTTGCTACAAGATAAACCATTGCGAAGCTAAATTTCATTTCCTCTTGCTGGCCTTTTTGGGACCAGCAGCAGCCTCACGCTTCTTGGACTCTTTGGCCTCAATTTCTGCCTTTCGGGTCTTTTCTTGCTCTTCCCTCTCTTCCTTCTCAGCCTATTTCGGGAATGAGTCAGCTTAGGTTAGAAAGGGCCCCAGCATCCCGGACCAAGTCATGTGGAACGTTTTGCGTTTCCGTACCTGTCTTCGTGCAGCGTCGGCTGCGCGTTGCTCTCGAATGAGTTTGAGACGAGCAAGATCTGCCTTGGCCTGATCTGTTTTACCTTCAGCCTGCAACTTCATATACTTCTCCTTGGCTGCTGCGGCCTCGGCAGCTTCCCGTTCCTTTCGGTTCCCAGGAACATTCATGTTCTGGACGCCCTCCGTGATGTCGTCGACATCGCTGCTGTTGGCTTGTTTCCGGGCTGACCTGGAGTGGTTCGGGTTGGCAGGCATGCCGTCTTCGCTCTCGTCGTCGCTAGAGGGCATATCGCCGACCTGGACTTCACGAGACTTTTGCTTGGCAATGGCAGCCTCTTTACGGGCCTTTTTCAGGGCCTTGCGGTCGTCGCGATTCTCGACATCGGCTGTAGCCTTTGAAGGGCCGGCATCATCGCTTTCCTCTTCACTAGACTCCTCCTCAGAATCTTCTTCAGAGCGTTCGTCTGCGGCACCGGCCGACCACATGCTGACTTGGTTGCCATCGGCATCGACTGGCTGTAGTGAACGAGAGTAGTGTTTGCCACCTAGGTAGGAGAAGTGTGGATTAGAACTGGGCTCAGATTCAGATGCTGAAGCCTACGCCTCCGGGGCCTGCGCAGGGCAAAGGCTCGAGGTTGACGTCTGGTGCTTTGAAGGACTTACCGCCTCTGGTTGGTTTGTTAAATTTTCCAGCGCGACCGCGAGAACCAGCTGCTGAGCCGCCGGCCATGTTGGGTGGTAGAAATTGATAAAGATGTAGAAGAACGAAGAATGGGAGCAGCGGGATGTTTGCCTTGGGTTGAGGTCAGAGAAGAACCGTCGACCCCTTTGAAGGAGATAAAAAGCAAAACGATAAGGATATCAGGCCGAAACGGCAGGAACGTATCGATTTGCACAATGCAATGGGCAGAAGAAAGTAGAAATGTTTCGGTGGCGCTGAGGCGGGGTAGCGGGGTTGATTTTTGGGCAGTTGCGCTCAAGTGCTGTCTGGCTGACCAAACAAAAGAGGCAAGATGGTAAACGGAGTGGCCGTTTGAAGATGAAGGATAGCCCAGCGAGCCAAGCTAACAAACCTGCAAGCCGTTTGCTTTGATCGAGGGAGATGTGATTCGCGCTGCAGGGATTTTCCTTGGCAGGCAGACAAAGCTCCCAGATTCATCACAATGAGGGGGCCCAAAGGGGTGGTGAGTCAGGCGTGCAGAATCGTGGTGAGATTGTGAGATTGTGAGATTGTGAGTCAAGGTTCGGGGCTGCAAGGTCCTATCATCCAGTATGTTGTGTGCCAGGAATTTAATTGTTTGGTGCTCACACGACCACATGCCGCGCATGCGTCTTTCGATTGAGCTTGACATGGTTGACAATAAAACTACGGCCACTTGATGCTTGCCACGCTGAGGACCCCTGACATAGGGAAGTCACCATGCTTTAGACCTTACCCCTACCGATTCCATTGGGCAAGCATTCGGCGACTTGGAGCTCTTGTGTGACACACACGCATCGGCATTCCTTGGCCTGTATTCGCGGTTGGCTCCCAGATAATTCCAGATGTCATTTCTGGCCAGGTCATCGAGGTGACTGAGGGTAGGTTCGCGGGAGCAGCCGACCACTAACAAAAAGTCGCCTCGGTGCGTGGCCAGTTAAACGCCGCGTGTTGCAGCATGACCAGTGTGCAGGTAATAATGCTTTGTATGTACCTACCTACTTTAGGTACTTACTTAAGGTACTTATATGTATCTGGGTCGTGAATGGGCGCCGAGTCCTCCCAAGTTCCCCCTTCTGTGGACAAATAAACGGCACAGGCTCATCTTTCTTCCGGTCCTGGAGCCACTTCCCATCCATATCTTGCGGGCGCCTCTGCCGCGCAGCTTTCGACTTTTTTCTTCTCTTCTCTTCTTCAACCTACTAGAAAATATCAATCCTTCATATTCACTCTGGCTTTCACTCACTTCAATGGATGTCACCGGAGGGGAAACTGGAGGAAAGATCGGATCCCAACCGTCGATCTTACCATTTGTTCTGCATGCATTTCGGTGCTCGTGGCTCAGATAAAAATTTCAACCGGCGGCACACGCATTTGCACAACCAACCCCGGAGAAGCTATGGGGGCGTAGACTTTTTCTCGTAGGAATGGCTCTCAGGTCGCTTATATTGTGCATGTTCCATGTTGACACGATCGAAATGCCTGCGCACGCAGACGGGAAGCCAAGGTCATCAATCGACGTCGGTCATGCTCAGTTGACTCATCCACACCACAGCTTTAGACCTTAATACCTTCCACGTTCTGATGAACGGGCTATAAATTACAAGGCTCGACTCGCATCGATGGGGCATTAAATTTTTATCAGAGATGCCTTGCCGAGGCCAAGTCGACCGGCTGTGGGAAACAGAGTAATACTAGGGGGTTACCTAGTAGTTGTGCACACCAAACATCCGTGGTCACGACGTCACAAATCTTGCAGCTAAAACATATGAAGAGAAAACTTTGACCACAATTTATTCGTAACATTTTTTTAATATACTTGAGATGAACCAAGCTGCAAATACATCGCTACTATCTATATGACTTCAAAACTTCCCTTTGTCCCTCTCTTCTCATCCAATACAACCGACCTGATAATTCGAACGCGACTCGCCAGAAATTCACATCTAATATGCCAAAACGTATACCATTGTAACTGGAGCTTCATCAAGTTCGATCAGCACCAGAGCTGCATCGATATGCCTCTAAAGGTGTGCACCTTGGGATAGAGTCCCTGCTCATACCCTCAGGTAGTTCCTGTCCAGCCTGCGAAGCCAGAACCGCGCGGCGGTTGACTTCGAACTGCCCAGACGCGATTTGAGCGTCTTCCTGTTGTGCTCGCAGCGGCCGGGTATCAGGGACGTTGCGGGATGGGCGCCGAGCATTGACATTTTCCCACAGTTGCTCCGACGGAGGAGGGCCGGGCTGCTCGTCGTTTCCTGGCTGCGAAAACAGACGATCGTAGGGCTCTGCGACGACAGGCCTGATTCTAACATGACCCTGACTATAGATGGACGACGGAGGATCATGAGGGTTGAAAAGGCGGGAGAATAAGCAAGTCGGAGAGTTTTTATTGTTCTTGTCACGCGACGTAGTGGGATTTGGTTGAGGTCCGGAGGTCGGACTGCGCAGTCCATCTTGTGCCTTCTTCCCAGAGAAGAGATGGGAGTGTCCTGACTTGGGCATTTGAAGCATGTGCAGACCAGAAGAACTACAAGGTGACTTGAATTTTTCAGCTTCTCTAGAGGGCATCTGTCTCGCGGTAGTTAGAAACAAAAATCGGGATGCAGGCAGCGAGTCCTCTTATAACAAAATTGCACGTACGTATCTCGCAAATGCCACCCATTGCTGTGATTCATCCATCGTGCTTGATCTGGGATGCAAGCTATGAGCCCTGGGCCCTGGCGAGTAATTCATTTTTATGCCTGTGATGAAATTTATCCTTTGTCCTTTGTTGCGTTCTTGCAATGAATGGGGATAAAGCATTTGTGTACACTTGGAACACTTATGACAATGAAGCATACGGACAAGCGTCTTTGAGACACACACAAAAAAAATGGTACAAATGGCTTTTCTTTTCAAGGGTGGCTACGTCTTTTATATCGTTTCCGAGGACGAGTTCAGGTTTGGAGAATTGGCTCAAACCAAGCGCTGGAGGCCTTCGCCAAATTTGCATTGTTAGTTTTCCATGGCTGCGCACTATGCACAAGAACTTTTAAGCTACCGACTTGGTTTACTTTATTTGACAGCTTAAAGTTGGGCTTAGAGTTCACTAAAACTCAACCCATGGTTGGACGGAGTTACTAGATTGAAACACGCACCTCGTCAAATCCGCGCCGCAAACTCCACGCATGTTATTTGCTTAGCGACTGTAAAATATCATCCAGTCTCTGTCTCTTTTTACTGCGCAATGAATGTTCCACTTGATCGTCCCACGCCAAGTTTGCTGTCTTCCTCGACATCTTCTGTGGTACAGGGGGTTCGTCTCGACCTTGCAAGTTGGGAGGGCGAGTGAATGTCATTCGCTTTGTTGCAAAAAGTCCTCGGCTGACATATGATGGAGTATTCGTGATACCACCTCGACCGTTGTGTCCCAGGAATAAGCTGGCAAATGGTTTCGAGGGCAAAATAAATGGTCCGACAACAGCTTGAGTATCGGACTGAACGCCACGGGATCTCAAGTCCTCGTCTCCGCCCAGTTGGCCTATGAAGGCGTACAGCCAAAAGGCCCAGGCCTCGAAGGCGATTCCGTGGCAAGACCCTACATCCCTCGAAGAAGCTTCTATATCCCAGGTAGGGAGGTAAGCATTTGCGGTATCTGTCAGGTAGTCCAACAAAGGCGGAGCTTGGCGGTCTGTGACGAATTTTACAGCACAGCGAGAGTCACCACAAAGAGAAGACAAGTCCGCGTCTACTCTTCTCGCAAGATCTCTCAGACGACTACTTCGAATTTGCTCAAGGGGCGCAAAGAGCATCAGGTATCGCAGCAATGAGTCTTCCATGCCGCTGGCGGAACCGGCCATCTCCCAGCCATGCTCAAGAGCAGAACCGGACGGATCTGGCCAGTCGTCTCGAGAAGCCATGACATCGTACAATGCCAATGATGGAAATTTTGTCACCCAGCGAAGTGATTCTTGCGTAGCATCTTGGTCCCTCCAGATGCGCAATACTCGTAGGAGTGGGAACGGATTTTCCATCTCTGCCCAACCACGTATGAGCCTATCGCTAACCTCGGGGAATGAAGCTCGCACCTCGTCAGCTGGCTGGATGAGTTCCAACACCCCGAGACTCTTCATACCCGCGAGGCAAAGCAGTTCATGGGTGCTAAACTGGCAGCCGCCGCTGATGACCAGATGTGCGATGAAGTCGGTTGATGGGGACATCAAAGGCTGGGTGTAGATTTTGAGCTCTTCTTGCGGATGGCATATGTGCTGCCTGAACCGATACAGTCCAAGAGTCTTGTCTTCGTCGTCTGCTACCAAGATTTTGGAGAACAGTTTCCATGCATGCAGGCAAACACCTCTAGGCATTCATTGAATTTAGCTTTCGAACAAGCTCACCAAGAGCGTTTCGGCCTCGCCATGAGCAAAGGGAAAAAAGAAGGAAAAAGAAACATACACCTCATCATTACCAGACTCATGCTGTCAGGGTCATTTACCTTGCTTCGAGGAATAGCCAGATGCGCCAAAGTAGCCGGATGGGCATTGCGTCTAGAAGATGGCGCTCCGTCACATCTCCAATATTGTTGGCAATAACATGAGTTGCCATGTCAATCAGCGATCGGGGACCCTTTGTCCCTCGAGGAGTGAATAAAGGATACGGTCTCCGACGAGACCAATCTCGGTCGCCACCATGGACGGTGAGGCTCTGTCGTGGGACCGTCCATTCTCTGTAGACCTGGCCCGATGATTTGTCAAACATGGCGAGAATGAGACGGCACTTGCGGCATGATGCGGTAGTATTCGCAGCTCCGAATATTAGAGTAGACAAATGGCCAGGAAAAAGTTGAAGTACAAGTCAAATGCAGATGCAGATGCAAGAATTAAAGTCAATGGAGTCTTGGCCTGGCTGGTGCTGGCGCCTCCGTTAAGGCTTCAATGTTTGCCCCTTGCACCCAGATGATGTGAGCACTATGTACTAAGCACTGGCCTGGCCAGGATCATCAAAAGTCCACATGCAGCGTCGCGCTTGTACCAAGGAGGGGCTGACACCAGACACCTTTCAAGTGTCAAGAACAAAGCACCTCAACAATTCGTGCTTGAATGCATGGTTTCTTAATTATATTTTTTTATTCAATTTTTTTTTAATTTTAGATTTTATTTCATGTAATTTATATCTTTGCTAACTCGCGGTTCGGCAAAGATATGCGCGAACCGCCAACCAAACGCCCCATATATGTCGCTATCAAGTATCCAAGCCAGATTAAACAACATTGAAGCTCCGTCAATTCCAGTTGACCCGACATGGAACTAAAAAGATGCATTCTCTTAACCACCGTCCACAAGTATCCGCCTCGCTCATTCTCTTTTTTTGTCGAATCCCCCATAAATTTACAACATGGGCTTAAGATCCTTGGACACGGTAAAAGGTGCCTCGGTCTTGCTCTTAATCTCTTCAACCGTCACGCCATCAGCTATCTCGACAAGGTTCAGGCCATGTGCAAAATCAACGTCGAAAACTCCCTGCAAGTCAAATTGTTAGCTTCAGTCTCGGCTTTTCGGCAACCAATAAAATCTGGCCTCGACCGAAAAGGACTCAAAGGACTCACTAGTTCGGTAATGATTCGTGACACACATGCACGCCCAGTCAAGGGGAATGCGCATTGCTTGACTATCTTGGGGTTGCCCTTCTTGTCGGTGTGCTCCATCGTCACAACTACCTTGGTCTTGGAAGGGTTGCTGACGAGATCCATGGCACCACCAAAGCCTTTGACCTTGCCGGGCAACATCCAGTTGGCAAGGTCACCAGTTCCGCTTACTTGCATAGCTCCTAGAATAGTGAGGTTGATTCTTCCGCTGCGAATCATGCCAAAGCTTTCCTCGCTGCCAAAGACGGCCGCACCACGGTTGAGGGTTACCGTCTCCTTGCCAGCATTGATCAAGTCGGCATCCTCGTCACCCTTCTTGGGATAAGGACCCAATCCAAGGATACCATTCTCAGACTGAAGCTGGACTTCGACCTCGGGACCAACGAAACCCGGCGCTAGCATAGGCATGCCGATGCCCAAATTGGCGTACATGCCGTTCTTGAACTCCTTGGCTGCTCGCTTGACAATGCGCTCACGTTTGGCGGCGGTGTCGCCGGTTCCCAACGCGGCCTTGGCATCGGCGTCGCTTTCATCCTTGGCAAAAGTGAACTTTTCAATATTCTTCTCACTTGTGCTCTGAATAACGCGCTTCACATAGATGCCGGGCAGGTGGACGGCTTCGGGAGGTATCTCACCAGGCTCAACAATATGCTCAGCTTCGACAATGGTCATTTTGGCATTGCGGCCCATGGCACCATTGAAGTTGTGGGCAGCAAGACGGAACTGGCAGTTGCCGAGCTTGTCTGCCTTGTAGGCCTTGACAAAGGCGTAGTCGCCATCAATAGCATGCTCTAGTAGATACGACTTGCCATTGAACACCTTGACGTCCTTGGGATAGGAGTATTCATCTGGGGTGCCGTCGGCCTTGTTTTTTAATGGCAAGTCACCGGTTTGAACCACGGTTCCGAAAGCAGCAGGGGTGTAGAAGGCCGGAATGCCCTTGCCACCAGCCGCGCAACGCTCAGCCAAGGTTCCTTGGGGAGTGAGCTCCAGCTCAACCTCGCCGGTCAGATACATGGTTTCGAACGTCTTGTTCTCCCCAATGTAGCTAGCAACCATCTTCTTGACCTGCTTAGTCTTGAGGAGCTTGCCGAGGCCGGAGTTGTCTGTGCCGGCATTGTTGGAAACAGCTGTGAGACCAGTGATATCAGGCTTTTGGAGGATTTCATCAATGAGGGTATCGGGAACACCACAAAGCCCAAATCCACCACAGAGCAGGGTTGTGTTCGGCTTCATATCCTTCAAAGCTGCTGAAGCAGACGGGAAGACCTTGTTGATCTCGGCCCGGCGTAGAGATACGGAGAATGACCTGGTCAGGGCCGGAGAAGGCTGATGGCGTTTTGTGTTAGCTCAAGGGAGTCAAGGACGCTGCAGCCGCGAATGAGCCAAAGTAATACGTACGTTGCAGCCATGCCGAGCGAAGGCCCGGAGAGTCGCCATGCGGAGAGCAGCGGACGGCATTGTGAGATTATTTATACTGTGAAGCTGCAGATGTTTATACCATACACGAGCATGCGTCACACGGATGTGATGATGACCTTTGGAGGCTGATATTGAAAGACTGGCCAAAGGAGAAATTTGGGTGCTGCTTCAAAACTTGAGCCTCGCACCGCCAACCGACTTCAGCTCCCTTGCCTTGGAAAGATGGACTAAGGACAACGATGGCAGCGATGGATGTTTTACAGAAGACCGGAAACAAAGGCTGGTGGTAACAGGGGAGTAGTCCAAGCACAGAGGAAACCGGCAACTGGGCTCGGGAAAACGGAGTGTGGGATGGGCGAGTGCGCAGATGCGTCTTGTTAACAGCTTATGAAGCTCTCGAGCCGCGAGGGTCCGCAGGAATCCATTGGAGGCGGCAGCACGCGAATGATGGGAACTGTGCCGCTAGTGGCCGAGCCGACTTCTTCCCTTCGGGTGCAGCGTCGGCAAAGAGCTCTCCCTCTTCGGAACTTGGTAAGCGGTTTCCGTTCCGCGCAGCCGCCAATGGCCCATGGCGGCGGCAGGTGCAGGCTGGCATCAAGAGCTGTGGGGGCGGGTCCGGGGGCTATGCGACAGCCATGCAGTAAGGGAAGATGAAGCTTTTGGAAGGAGACAGGCATCGGTTCCGAAGGCTAAGCCGAAATTGGCCCAACCCACAACCTTCTAAAGTTGCTAACATAATGTACATCTACTGGCAATTCCTCCGACACATTGTGTGCTCTTGAGATGCTAGCGGCTGTTTATATGAGTTGTCGACGCTTAATCTCACGAAACTCTGCTTTTGGTCCATTCAGGTTACTTTTACTTATTGGGCGAAACATTGCGCCGAGTGCTCCATGAACACGCCGTCGAAACGTAGAAATCGCTTGGTTTGTCACATCGGACCCGATGCCGCCATTTTGGCCTTGGCTGCCATGAGTCGTCTGTAATTAGTCACCGGAGTCCGGAAAACGACAGGGTAAACCGTCTTCCGGCGCGGCCGACCACTCCAGCGACAATGAACCAACCTCCTACCTACATAGAACCTAAGGTAATTGTCGGGAATAATACTTGCTTCGCGCCGATTATCGGCTCTCGGCGTTGCTAGCCTAGAAAAGTACTCTCCGTTAATCTTCATGCCCAACAACTCTCAGGCCCTAGTGAGATGGTCGAGCTTGTGTCTACTATCCTAAAGCTTGTTGTTTCAGAGTTGATTATTGACTCGCTCGCTGCTCCGTACCCAGGCGTTTAACTACATCCCACCATTCTCTATCCACGAACTCTTTTGAAGAGCAATATTGAGCCAGACTCACTCTTCTCTGACTTTGTGGGTGACCTCTGTTTCTACGATGTACTCCAGACCCCGTACCAAGGCTCTGCCCTGCTGGAAGCCAAGGTACCAAGGTACCTGAGTAAATGGCCCCCTCCAACCCACACTTGACCACACTTGACCAAACAGCTGCTTATCAGCTTATCGCCCCGCAGCTAGCGCAACCAAGCTTCAAAAAAATTCAAAAAATTTCATGCCGTCCATTGGCCCAGCCAAGGCGCGCCATCAAGTTTGCTCGAATCTACGGCGAACTGCCGCATACTCTTCTCAAACCAAGGCCGAAGAAGTCTCATACGCATCTCATCACGCACAAGTCCAGCAGCCCAAGCCATGGAGTCGGGGGTCAAGCGTCGAAAGATTGACCGTGGCGGATTTAGCCTCCGGCATGACGGTCTCATCGATGTCGAGGCTCGCAACGCTGCTCTAGTATCGTCCGCCAGCACCTTTGTCCTCCAAACCGATGAGCTGCTGAGGAAGGCCAAGCTTGATTATAGCAAAGCACTGAAAGATGTTGACGGAACATTGTTTCGGCTGAAAACTATTGTGGATTCCATCGAACCGCATGCACCTCTTCCTGTGAGCCTCACCTCCTGCAATTTTGCTGGCTTAGACGCTAATCAACTCAATGCACAAGATTGCCGAGGCGACAGCAAAGTTCGAAAAGCAACATCGAATTACCGTGCCCTACCCAGATCCCAAGCCAAGAAAGGACACCGCCTATAAACTTTCATACGCGAAACCCTCTCAGTGCAACGTCGTTGGCAGCTACGTCTCTAGGACCATGGTCAAGACCCAATCTGCCCTGGGTATTGATATGGTTGTGGAAATGCCTGTTTCATTGTTCCAAGACAAAGACTATCTTAGCATGCGATATTTCTACCGGAGAGCCTACTTCATTGCCTACATCGCCGCACATGTTCGCAATGAGATGCGTGATACCATGGCACTGAGCTTCGAATACTTACATGAAAACCCTCTTCTCCCAGTGTTGGTTCTCAAGCCGTCGACCGATGGAGATGCGATGGACGGAACCGAGAAGCCGATATCCAAGTCTAACAAGAAGGATAGCAAGAGACACAGCTATTGCATCCGGCTCATTCCATGCGCTCCCGACAATCTTTTCCCTTGGTCAAAACTTGCACCGTCGGCGAATTGTACGCGACTAGGAGAGACGCAGGAGAAGGAGGAGAAGAAAAGGAAGGGAAACAACACGTCTTCCCCATTTTATAACTCCACTCTCAACGCCGAGAGGACCTTTATACAGTACCTCAGAGTACTGACTTTCGCAAAGAACGAATGCCCGGCCTTTCCAGACGCGTGTATCTTGGGCAGGATATGGCTCCAACAACGAGGCTTTGGCGGCGCTATTTCTCAAGGCGGCTTCGGTCATTTTGAATGGGCTGTTTTGATAGCCCTTATGTTGCAGATGGGGGGAAGAAATGGACAGCCTGCTCTTTCGGGCTCCCTGAGTAGCACCGAACTATTCAAGGCTGGTATTCAGTTTCTGTCGACAACAGACTTTAATAAGAAACCGTTTGCCTTCAACACGGCTAAAGTCGATGCCAAATTAATCAGAGAACCCGGCCCTGTCATGTTCGACCCCGTACGAGAGCTAAACATTTTGTCCAAGATGACATCATCCTCCGCTAGTCTTCTACAGCTATATGCAAAGTCCACTTCAGACTTGTTAGCCGACGAGGGTGCTGAAAAATTCGAGCCCACATTCATCATGAAGACGGACATTACACTGCAGGTTTTCGACGCGCAATTCGAGATCAACAACTCTCATATTTCCAAGTACGCCGACTCCTCTGATCGTAGCAGCATTGCCTGGAAACTCGGATCAGAGGTGCACCAAGTCCTCAAAAAAGCCTTTGGAAACCGTGCCCAACTTGTTCATATACAGCTACCATCAATAAAGCCATGGTCACTTTCTGACCAACCTGCGAAACTGGCTACAAAGCTTCTTGTTGGGGTGATTTTTGATCCCGCTCATATGGCGCGACAAATGGAGTACGGTCCACCTGCAGAGGAAGAAAAGGAGGCTGCCGCGTTCAGACAATTTTGGGGTGAAAAGGCGGAGCTGCGTCGCTTCAAAGATGGGAGTATCCTTGAATGCGTCGAATGGAATGGCAAGCTCCCTTCTCAAATTTGCGAAGAATTGACTAGCTACTCTTTGAAGCGGCATTTCAATATCGCAAATGAAGATATTGTTGCCTATGGAGACAGGTTTTCCTCCCTCATTGGCTTGTCTCATCTCGACAAAGAAGCCTTCGACTCGGCCCGGCGAGCATTTACGACGTTTGAAAGCGACATTCGTAATTTGGACGACCTTCCGCTGCAGATACGCCAATTATCAGCAGTGTCACCATCCGCTCGCTACTCGTCCCTGGAGCTGCCCATGCTTGGCTTTCACATGAATACCATTCAGCTAATGGACGTTAACCTGTACTTTGAGGCATCCAGCAAATGGCCTGAAAACCTCACTGCCATCCAGGAGGCGAAGATTGAATTTCTTCTCGATTTTGACCGCCGATTAACAGCAGCTAACGACAAAATCGTCACATATCTGGGTCGCGAAAACGGGGACGTTGGCATCGAAAACCTCGCATATTTAGATATCGTATATAACAACGGCGCAGCTTTCCGCCTGAGAATATATTGTGACCTGGAAGAGACGCTGCTGCAGCGCCAAGTCCAAAATATGGTACTTGATCCTCATGTCCGTGAGGAGGCATCACAAGCTCTCGATACACTCAAGTGGTATTCTGCTACACTGCCGCTGCATACTCAAACCATTGCAACTTTTTGCACTCGTCTGCAGCCGTTATCACAGTCAATTCGCCTTGTCAAACACTGGTTTGCCAGCCACAAGCTCTGCGGACACTTTTCTGATGAGCTTATTGAACTTTTTGTTCTGCACGTCTTTCTTCAGCCATATCCCTGGGTGATGCCTTCATCGCCCATGACGGGATTCTTGCGCACTCTTTTCTTCTTGGCAAGGTGGGATTGGCGGGATGAGCCATTAATTGTAGATTCCGCGGAGACAGTCTCTGCAGCAGAACGGTCGGCCATGCACCGGGAGCTCGATTCCTGGAGAAAACGAGATCCTCACATGAACAATTCCGCCATGTTTGTTGCTACTTCCAGCGATCACTCGGGCCTCGGATACACGCGCCGTGGCCCATCGAAGCTCATCGCCTTCCGAATGACTCGCTTGGCCAAGGCTGCCTGCAAACTCGTTCGCGACCAGGGAGCCAGCCTCAAGCCCGAAAGCCTCTTCGAAACGTCGCTGCAAGACTACGATGTACTGGTACACCTCTCCACCAAGGCCATCAAGAACATCTTGCACGATGCGGCTACCGAATCCGGCGCAAGGAAGCACTCGATGTATAAGAACCTCGATGCGCGCACCGGCAAGATGCCGCTACCTATAAGAACACACCCCGCCGCCGTTTTGGCCCAGGAGTGGCAGCGCGTTTATGACGACACGCTTGTGTTCTTCCCAGGCGGGCCAAATGAGTCTGTTCTGGCGGCTATTTGGAACCCAAAGTTGCAAAAGAAAGAAAAGTTCAGAGTTGGACTGCCATACAACTTCCGAAGGGTAGCTGTAGATGATGGCGATGATGCGGCAGCTGATATGGTCGAGGTGAACCGACAGGCCATCTTGCTGGAGCTAGCAAGGGCGGGCGGAGAAATGATAAAGAGAATTGAAGTTGGAGACGACGAGGAATAATTGGAAGCAAATTCCTCCCAGGCTACCAAGTCCAACAATTTGTGTATTTATCCCAGTACCGTTGATGATCACGGGCAGCATCTGGCGGGGGCTATGAGCGCGCGAGCGTCATTTGTAAATAGATCAGCATACAAACTGCGGAAGAAAGATTAATAGGATAAAGAGAACAGTCATATGCCGGCTCAGCCACTAGCATATGAATCTTGTCTATTTGCTTACACATTGCTATTTGATGTACCTGATGTCGACTCAGTACCCTCCGTATTCAAGATAAATAAATAAAATAACGCCGATTCCGTGGTATAGATGCATATGTACAATAATTCTTCCACTATCTCCCTAATCCACCCATTATAGCATCTTTTGCTTCGTTGACATTTCACACATGTCGTGTCTCATCACCCGTCCTGCTTCTCAGAAACCTGCTCCGTCGAGAACGAGCAGTACTTGTCTTTGATCGCCACCACTTCGTACGTGCCCTCTTGGCTGGCTTTGATAACCTTGCTGTGCTCGTACGAGATATCATGTCTTCTATCCAAGACAACACTTTTATGTCCCTTTTTGGCATTGGTACTTCTTGTGTACGTGAACTCAAAGGGAGGTGTCCCCCAAAACTCGAACAAAATGTCGACTTCATTGCCCTCATGAATATCAACGCGAGATTGCTTTCCACGACTGATCTGGACGCTAGGGAGAGGATGGATCTTCTTATGCATATTGACTGCTGCACGGCATTCGCTAGCCTTATCCGAAATGCTAGTAATGATGAAATCGCCAGGTTTCTCTGCCACACGGCGGAAGTTGGTAGTCTGTGATTTAGCATTCCATCGGCCATTAAAGTCGTATGTGATATCGAACGGCGGCGTTCCTGAGAGTGTGTACGCGATTCTTTCACCGACACAAAAGTCTTCGCGAGACTCTAGCGGATAGATGGAAGGGGCATCAAAGAGCTGCACTTGAATCGATGGTCCATTAACATCGTACTTTTGCTGACATCCTTTCGCATCTCGGACGCGCCTTATGCGGAGTTGCTGCGCTCCAAGGCGTAAGTGCTCTCGTGGGATAGGCATCGAGTATGAGTTAGAATTGATGGAGGCAATTCGGTAAGTATCCGGCGCCGATCCGGACTGATGCTTAATTTCCACTTCAACGGAGAATGGAGGGACGCCAGTCAATGCGATGGGGATTTTGTCTTCGTGTTCCTGTTCCTCCACGCAGTATTTGAAGGATTGACCAGGTTTGGAGAAAACCGCCGTCGGCCTGGCGTTAACGCGCTGCTGTACCACAAGTGGCCGCAGCTTCTTGTCACTGTTATAAAGATTATCTGCTAGTCCAACAAACTTGTACGCGTAGTCACCAGCCTTGCTAGTGTCCATGGATATCGACGCCTTGGATAGTGCGGCGTCAAAATTCCTCGGGCTTTTAGAATGGGAGCCCTGCTGAGATCTGTGCTCCAGTTCGTACGACACATGATACGGGGGTGATCCTGAGCTTCATTAGCAAGCGCTGGCTGAGCGATTGAATACGTAGGCTTGTCCACTTACCTTGGAGCTTGACTTCGAATCCATCAATATCACCCTCGCATACATCCTGCTTGATGAATGCGTCCTTGGCGCTTGTGATGCTTTCGGTTTGAATAAGTGAAATCTCCGGTCGAGGAAACCAGTCCACCTGGAATGTAGATGCGGTCTTGTCTACAGTGCCTCGGCACTGGCTATCATGTACCTCGAGGATTTTATATACACCCCGAGACTTGACGACTAGGTGGTCGTTTGGGGCGATGGCAGTTTTGAAAAGCTCGCTCCCAGATTCATTCAAATTTCGATATCGGATTGTCCAAGGGGATTCACCCTGAAGTCGTAGCGGAAGTTGCAGGGATGTATCTTCAACAGCCAAGATAGAACTCTTCTGCTCTATCAAGCCAAACCCGCCACGTGGTCGTTGACGTCGGACTGTAATTTTAATTTGTTCTTGCAGGAAGGTGCGGCACCCACGTTTGTCCTGCACACTGCTAAGAGCGAGAATATAATCTCCGCCTTTCGCAAGCACCGGCGTCTTGATCTTGAACATGTTGTCTTCTAGATTGCTTGCACGCTCTGTTTTGCGTTTGCCATCGTGGACAATTTCCCATTCAAGGTTGAAAGGGGCGTCGCCATTAAGAGCGACATCTATCTCGACTTCGGAATCTAGACAAGCATTTATGGTGTCGCGTGGGTGGACAATCCTGGCTGAAGCAGCTGGCTTGACAACCTGTTCAAGGATTGTGTCTTGACCCGATAGGGGCAGGCCAATATACACCGCGTCACTTATCGACGTGAATACATACTTGTGTCGGCCGGCCTTCTTAGGGATAAGCTCAAGCTGTGAGCGCAAGCCGGGCACACGCAAGGTCTTGTGTTCGGGAGGGCCGTCTGAGATGATATCGTAGTGGATATCAAACGGAGGAGTGCCCACAAGGTCAATGTCAACACGAAGACCAATGGAGTTGCCGGCGCACTTATCAGGTATGTCTTCGGAACGAATAGATAGATGGGGTTCCAGGGGGTTGAGCAGCAAACAAGATGATGGCTCGTCTACTTCACCTTCACAAGAGCCACTAGTCACCGACTTGAGCGTGTACAGTCCAGCTTCAGATACGAAGGGGCGGTCTCTGGAATTCTTTGCTGAATGGCGGAATATTGTAGCTTCGCTGCCGTGGTCCCCGCTGTTAGTCAGGGTGTCAATGGGCGAAAATTCCCAGCTGATTTCGTGTGATGTGTCTTTGATGGAGCCAGAGAGACTGAATGAAATAGGCAGGGATGCAGCTCGTCCTTTAGCTACCTTGATTGGCTTTCGAAGGTCACAACCATCCATGCGAATTTTCGGCCGCTCTCTCACGGTGAACTTCTGAGTGAGGCCCTTTGAGTTGGCGACATCAACGTCCTCGCCCTCCTTGGCGTACTTGACCTCATTTCCAAATGCGTCGTGGACTTCGTCAACTGAATACTCCCATTCTCCGGGGTTGGTGAGGGACTCGTTGAGGCCGACAGTGACTGTGGCAGGGCGTGCCCACGAAAAGTCATCAGCAGCAGAGACGGCAGCCGCGTTTGCGCCAGTGATGAGAGGTGACGCAAAGCCGTCCGGCTGCAGGCTTTGGAATCGGAAATCGTGGTTTATGCCGTTGACAGAACGACTATATTTGATCTTGAGTGGCGGGGTGCCCATAACTTCAAGAGATAGGTCAGACAGGTCGCGAATACATCGCTGGGAGGACTCAGAGGCTCGAATCTTGGCCTGTGGGCAGGGAACAACATAAGTTTCCTTGGCGGCGCGCTGAACTTCGAGTTTGTACTGGTCCAAGACTTTGCCCAGCCGATAAACACCGGGTTTCTTGACGACATACAGCCAGCTGAACCCGTCGGCAGTCGGGTCAGCATTGTGATCACGAATGGCTCTTGCAACCTTGTTGACTTCGCGAGTGGGGATCTTGATTGTTTCCTCCTTGTTGGTATCAAGATCGATACGAATCAGTTCAATCTCGGCGGGCACGGTGGCATTAAAATAGATTGGTAGTGAGGCGCCAGTCTTGTCCTTTCGATTCAGACAGTAAGGTAGCATGTCCGGGTTTAACACGGCAGAGCCTTCGGGGAGAATGTTGATGATTTGTTTGCCCATTATTAACGAGTGATTGTTCAAAATGCTCGAGATCTTTACGTTGTGCTCGGAAATGGAGATTTCGCGATCGTACAAGACCTTGGCAAAGCCGAGGAGCCAGGTCTGCCATGGTAGCTGTGCTGAAGGTTAGTTCATTGATTGGGCATGAGGTGGGTGTATGGTCCCAACTTAATGTGGAAGTCAGTAGACTCACGGGAATATTGAACATCAACATGTAATTGAAGACGACATGCCCAGCAAAGAGGGTGGTGACTATAAATTGCGAGAGCTCAAGCCATGGTATCCTGAGCTCAGGCAACCCAAAGAGGAAAGCAAAGTCGATAAAAATCCACTTTATAAACAACCACCAAGACGAGTCGCCGTCTTCTATGACTTGAAGCCAGTCATAGAGCTTCCAGGCCCACAGCAGCACGTATACAGCGAGGGCATATAGACGCTGCTGGGGAGCATCAAGGAAGGTTAGAGGAATAAGAGGGTCGCTCGCAACTCGACGCGCAGTGTTGTTTTCGGGGGCGAGAGGGAGCGTAGGCGATTTGGCAGAATTGCCATTGGACGAAACAGTGCCGACTGTGGAAGGCGTCTCTTGGAGGTTTTGTCGTCGTGGAACGGTAGCTGGGGTTGCTGGAAACCCAGACCGCAAGCGAGGAGTCGCGCTCATGGCATTCCGTATCAACAGCGAGGGGAGCAGGAAAGCATCGAAGACCAAACGCAGGCGAAGTCACGGACGGTGTGTGCAGAGCGTGGCAATGCGTGCAACGCGTCGTGGGTGCAGGTGAGGCGTGATGGAGCACGAGTTGACGATGCGGCAGCAAAGCTTCCAGACGTGTGACCAACTTTTTTGTGTTGGTGTCGAGATACAAGGACTAATTTAGTACTAGTCTTGGTGCCAGGCAACCAAGTCGAGGGCTCGGGCTACCCGGTAGACACAGAGAGCGAGAGCGAGAGTGGATTACTCTCTAGTGGAATTTTGGTCCCTGTTCAATTGGTACTGACGTCGCCGGTTTGTTATTCATGCCTGGAGCTCTGAAGAACGCGCTCCCGCTCCGGCACCACACCACACCAAACCAGCATTGAACATGAAAGCTCGTCGTCGAGCCAATCATGGGTGAACTATTGTTCCCAAGGCATTTTACTCTCCTCAGCCGTGGTCGAGCACCTACTGAAATACCTACTGGGCACTTGCGTGCCCAAGTATTGACAAAGTACCTGCTACTAGGCAGGGCAGGTATTCACCTGGTGGGGTCCCGCCTTTGGCCTGTAATTAATAAATTGCATCCATGTCCTGCCTGGCTCGCATCTCGACATGACGGCTTCGACAATGTACACAGTCTGCAATAACTTGCCTATCCAAGGGCAGTTCTTCAACACTCAATTTCCTGAATATTTTACCTTCTCCTCTGTCTTATAAATGTGCATGCATCTTCCCCTGTCCTGCCCAATAAACACACACACATATCTTTTCTCTACTCCACATGAGCAAGGTATAATGGACAGACCGAGGCGAAACCCAAAACGCAAAGCACTAGAAAACATAGATGCTCCTGACGTGCCTCATCACCAGCTTCTGGAGAAGGCATGTAGTCCTCTCACATCACAAGAGATTGAAGAATGGGAGGGGTGGATCGAGCTGGAATCTGAACCGGTGCGTGTTTGCAAAATCACCCAACGACCGCCGAGCCCATCCTTACTTCTACAGGCATTCTTCAACATCATTCTTCGAGACTTGGGTGTCAAACATGTCAAAACCCAGGAGCTATTTACAATTGATCAAGCCTCGTTGGACGCCCTGCCGTGGGTGAATACCCTCTTTCAAGACTCAGCAGCGATAGCCTGACATACTGACAGAAAACCCGTCTTTGGTTTGATATTTCTGTTCCAATACGGTCCTGGTTATGAAGAAGATGAGCAACCCACAAACACAGAAAGCGAGATATGGTTTGCAAACCAGGCAAGATTCCACCCCTTCCCCCTCTCTCACTCGGGTTTCACCAAATCAACTACTAACAGCCAAGTGCAGACCACCAATAATGCATGCGCCACTGTTGCACTGCTAAACATTGTCATGAACGCCGACAACCTGGATCTTGGCGAGAGGCTGCAGAGCTTCAAAGAATCCACAAAGGACCTCTGCACCGCTCTTCGTGGGCACAGCATCAGCTCTAATAAATTCATTCGCAAGATCCACAACTCCTTCACGAGGCGCATGGATCAACTCAATGCGGACTTGTGTCTGGAGAACGACGTTAGTGATTCCATGAAGAAGACAATGTCTAGAAAAGCAGGCAAACAGAAAAGAAAAAGCAACAAGACGTCCCTGGAGGAGTACGGATATCACTTCATTGCCTATGTTCCTTCTGGCGGATTCGTGTGGGAGTTGGATGGTTTGAGGAGCAATCCTCTGAAACTCGGTGAGACGATTCATCCCGATGCCATGGCCACGAACTTGGTCTAACTGCCAACACGCCATGCCCATAGGACCTCTAGAATCCCAAGATTGGACCACCATTGCCAGGCCGCAGATAGAGGCCAGAATGCTTCAGAACGAGGACAGCCAGCTCTCATTCAATCTGTTGGCTGTCTGCCGCGGCCCGTTACTACAACACAGCCGAACCATTGCCACTATGCTGGCGGCACTGGATTATATAAGATCCCGTATGAAGGACAGCGAGGCCTTTAGCGAGTTAATATCGGGGGAGGAGCCGGTCCTGGACATGGATGACCAAGCTCAACTCGCCGAGTTTAACCTGACCCATTCGGATATCCAGAATGCCGAGATACCACCCCAACTATTAGCTGCGGCGACCCGCTCCGACTGGGAGGCCCCAGATGTTTACCAGCTCTACCAGAGATTTTGCGCAGAAGCAAGAGCCGCCATGCGTGAATTTCGCGCCGAGCTAATCGTCATGGACGAGGATGAGCGTCGGGTCACTGGCCGCAGACGGGATTACGGCAGTGCATTACACTCTTGGGTACAGAAGCTAGCAGAAAAGGGGGTGCTGGAGGACATCATCAAAATGACCTAGTGAATATTTATGTTATGCATTGGCAGGATATTTCAAGAGTCCATGAAATTATACAACATATTAGTGTATATAGTGGCTCAAGGCGGGCTGCATGGGATATCTCAATTTTGAGCAGCGTGTGCCGAGAAAAAATTAAATAGAGAACCAACGCGCCTCCCTAGATAGAGTCAGCGTTGGCTGCCGCCTCCAACACCCGTACTAAGACAGCTTATATAAAGAAAGAAAACAAGACCAAATCGACACACTGATGTCGGCCAAGCTATCCGCATTTTTTTTACCGGCCCATATGGAATAATTTTGCCCGCCCAAGGTAACCTACTCCTTGAAATGCTCACTAAAATTCCATCTCCCTTGCAAATTGCGCATCTACCAATGCAACACGACCGTTCCAAATTCATACTGAACTGAAGTCATTAGTCATCTGGATATTGTTCCTTGATATTGGAAACGAATCTGCATGATTCTGGATCAAAACGCCTGAAAAATTTGCCAGCCATGGGAAACATGTCGTCATCAATGTTCGTAGAATCGTGTATGAGCTCAATATTATCCGCAGCCACTACATGTGGCTCAGAGCCAGTGCTCGGACTACCGCGAAAGGTTGAGTGTCAGCGAATACGAAAAGTAAAGAGCAGCGGAGCTGGGGCCTGGAGAAGGGAAGTTAATCTGGGTCTTACAAGCATATGAAATAGAACTGATTCGGCGGCCGAATAGAGGAGCGTGGCTGCCCGCTTGGATCGCCAGCGCCTCCCTCAACATCAGTGTCTCGAGATATTGCCACAGGCAAAGGCCTTGTGCCTTGGTCAGACCAGCCGGTGATGACGCCTATCCAACCGTAACGTCTATGTTGAAAAACCTGACCGATCTTGAACGGGACTGACTGGTTGGCGTCTGAGTCTCTCCGGGAAACAGACGGAATTACGTCGTCTTCGTCTCGCACGAGACGCCAGTGATCCCACGGATCCCCCAAGCCGCGATTGACATGATGAGCAAAGCCATCACGAAGTGGCGTAAAGCTGTTGTACATGGGCGCAAGATATTTTTCCACTAGCCATGCATCTTCAGGCCATGATCCGGCAAATCGACGAAGAAAGCTTGCTAATCTATCGTACCATTCGAAAGTATTGGGAGGCGTCAGCATCAGGGACGCCCACATGGCTGAGTATAGGGAAGCATCCACGTTCATTGCGTTGTTACCACGCAGAAGCTGACTCAATTCTGGATGAGCGTCTTCTTGTAGTTCCAAAATCCTAGCAAAAGTAGCCTTGATATTTTGAGCAGTTCTTAGAACCATTGATATGGGAGGAACAGGAGCTAAAAAGGCATCTGTACTGGTTTGCCATCCATAGTGAGCTAGGAGGTTCTGTAGATCGGACGCAGGGACTTCGCTGTCGAGCCCATATGGGTCAAGATACATCCTCTCGAGCTGCTCATGGCAGCTATCGACGACATGGCCGTCCAAGCTTTGTCCGGGCTGGGCGAAAACAATGGCGTGGACATGGCTGGGGAAGGCGCAACATTGAGCATTGAGCCCCAGCCGTCCGGCAAGACAACAAAAGAGGGCGCTGGATATTAGTGGAATGGATTCATGCTCTTCATGTCGCAAAGCCTGACCTATCAGGCAATTTCGAAGATTTCGATAATTCCTTTCCGGATTCTGTAGGCCGGTTAGATTGTTGGCACGCATCCACCCATTCAACGCCAAAGCTGTCTCTCGAGTTGTGAGCTCGGCAAGATTAGCACAGCTAGCTCGAAACTGGATGACCAAATGGTCCAACATCTGAGAAATCTAGGCAAAGTCAAAAACCAGCGCCGATTGGGGTGAAAAGAAGTTGGAATGAGGACGTACATCATCGAGGTCACCGGGCTGATCATGTAACACGAACATGTCGAAGGCGCCGAGGGCTCGCTCAAGTCTTTGGGCGGCGACGTGTGCAGGGGGAGAGTCGCGCTCCAGACCAAGCCTGTGCCATTCTTCGATGGCGATGCTCCGGTGAATGCTGTCGAGTATGGCATTGCTAAAATATCTAGTAGTCAAAGGTTTTAATCATCCCGATCACTCATTGTCTCCGTGTTTGTTTGTGTGTGAGAGGGAGGGTAGAGCTGGCTAATCACCTTCTCGCTAGAACGTCCGGCGCGGACTCGGGTGCGTGGCATTGCACCAGGAGAAAATCCTTGGCATCGTACCCCAGGCGGCAGATGCGCTCGATCTTCCTCAAACGGCCAACCTTGGTCTTCAGGATGGCGTCAAGAAGCTGGGAGACAGTCCGATTCCTGCGCGTCCTCAGCAGAAACAAGCGCTTCCAGTCGACACTTGCCACGGCGGCGTGCAGCTTCTGGCCAAAGCCGTGATCGGGGTGCCAGTATCTAAAGGTGCTCCGGCAATGATATCTCCAGAGCAGGCCCTCGTTTGCTAATCTATGGGAGCGGTGGCAGAGCAGCTGGAAGCATTGCAAAGTATCCTCGGGCGAGACATGGTGAAGCAGGTGCTGGATGATTTCGTCTGGGACTCGGTCCAACGACATGGCAGCCCATGTGGATGGATGACGGTGCTGAGGGGGGGCAGCAAGGAGGCAGCAGTGGGAGTCGGCAGGAGTCGCGCCAGGACCAGACAACTTGAGCTCTGTGTACCTTC